GATTCTGAACAACGATTGTCAGTTCTTTTAACACTGCTCTCACCTGCACCAATTATAATTAACGAAGGCCCGTCAACCTGTTTTCGCTGATAACCACTCATCACACACTGACACACTTATACGAACTTATTCACCGGATCTATCCATCCATTGTAGTTATACGGCACAGTCCACGCAATCCCATCCGAGCTGTTTCTTCTTGCTTCCGCACTTGCACCAAACACCGCCTTGATCACCTCATTGCACCTGTGCCTTCTGCTAACGATGATGAACACTTTCTTGGCAGCCTCCATCCTCACTTTCGAATATTTGCACTCGTTTAACCGATATATTTGTGATATCTGTAACATCCTTATGGACGAACCATATTTATCAGGCTACTGTCCACTGATTACTTGGCCCAGTCTCATTCTCTTATCAGTGCATTCTTTGCTTCACGAATAAGGAACTCCCAATGCATACATTATTGTACCAGTGCTGTTGTATGAAAAGTGATAAGCGACGCGGGACGATGTGGTTCGACCTTATCCGCAACACCAACAGTGTGGCAATACCGATCGTCAAAAACAACCGCATTCTAGTGAGTGCTCTTCTCTGGACTTCGAACATTCGAATGGTATAAAAGTTGGCAATCGTTGTTAAATATCGTAATTCCCGGATATTCAATATATTTGCATTGAAAATGAATACATTTTACAAGAAATTTGCATATCAAAGTATAGAAGATTTTTCAGATGGAAACATGGAATGCACAGCAAAGTTCACAATTGTTATTTTCTCTTTGTTTTACGTGAGAACAACAACAGTAGCTACTGTTAATTTATGCTGAACTTGATAACATAACTGCTCTCTCATTTGTGTCGCTTGTGATTTACGTAACAATTACTGCTGAATTAATTAGTGACTCACTTCAGTGCAATTGAAATGATACGGATGTACTAGAAATTGAGACGGTTATAAATCAAAAACCTGTAATTTTCAATCAGTCAGGCCTACACTCATACTTTCAATTTATACTCATATCCTCATCGCATACAATCCCCGGATATCCATTTAGGCTTTAGCTTGTATACTCAGAACTATTTCTGACTAAAATGTCATCAAGGGATATTCTTTCCAAAAACCCTTTATAATATTCCATTATCAAACACCATTTTACTTCAAATTCAGCCAAACTGTCAGGTTCTACTTCTGTCCAGAAGAGAAAGGTGGGAAGTTCTACTTTCCCTCATCATTACTACATTTTTGCTTGGTGGGACCAAATATCGGCACACCTTCAGTGGACCCCAATTTTTCTCATGATTGTGCAAGGAGTTTTTCACCTTTTTTGTAACTGCTTCTCCTTGATGCATACTGATTTGAGTTTCTAAGGCCTTCAGAGGGAAGTGAGAGTGATATTTTGTACGAACTGTAAACAGTGAGGAAGGAGAAAGATACTTCTACAAGCATTCATTTCGTTTTTAAAGGAGCAGAAAGAAGACATGAAGTCATTTTGATGAGACACCTGAATTATTGTAACGTTAAAAGAATTTCCTTTACATCCTTTTCAACACATAAGTTAAGGAAAGATAAAGCCCTTCGTGCAAACCTACTGCATTTCACTTCACGCAGTCATCTCGACATGACAGCATGCAAAGACTACATTTGTTTCATCCAAATCATCCAAATCACAAAATAGACATTAAAAGGACTCGCTACACAATGGCCTCTCTCAATATACTTAATGATTTGCCAGCCTTTAAAGCGATATATTACTGCATGCATTTTAACTAACTGACATGTTGCATTCATTTTTGCGAACATACATTTTGCTCAGTTTTTAATTTCTTATCAATCATTCATGCGCAAATGCCCACCTATCATAGCATAACATTCGTTATTTTTTTTCTATGCCATCAGATGATGGCACATTGTTCCAATAGTTGTGATAAACGATCGAATCACTTTAATTCTTAAAGTTTTACTTATGTAACAGGTTTTGTGTCCATAAGGGTAACATGTGAAATTTCAGAAAAGCAATGGATACTATATGTGTGCCGATCAGAAAAGCAACTGGACGCATTGCTTCATGAAGCTTGGCTGAAGGACTAACAGAGTAAGTACAGTGATCAGTTTTACTAGGATGAGTATCGATCAGTTATAAACGATCAATTGTTGACTGTTATCGGAGAGTGGAGCCGAACCTTCTGCCGGGCCGATTTTACTCTCCGATACTTGATCACTTGATCACTGCATTCACCACTCAGTCATTTGATGGGAAATTCTATCGTTGGAAAGAGGAATCATGGAAAAACGTGTTAAAGTCGATTCTTTTCACTTTCTATCTGATGGTGATTCAGAAGGTTTGTTCGGAGAGAATTTTGCATAATGATCAACGGGACATCGAACATTTTCTGCTTCCTATAATTGCTGATGCATCCTTACTATTAAGGATGGCGAATATTTTACTTGTCTCCTCCTTGAAACTGTACTATCAAAAGAAACTTCAATATATTTCACATCTGCACTAATGCTTCATCACCTCTTCTTTTGTAATGATCAGCAGACGTAAGGTCCTTTAAGAGGTTATTGTGGAAGAAGCAACGACAAATAGACTGCTTTATTTGGGATCAATGATCTGTGACTACTGAGCTATTCACCGGCCCGCTTCGGCTCTACGATTTTCACTTTTGATTTCATTAAAGGTTGAAGTAAAATTCGAAAGGAAAGCAGAAATGGAAAGCGTTGCAACACTTCCGCAGCAATATCCCCTTGTCGATACAGCATAATGACAAGGATGTCCAACGTGGAGGTATAGCTCACCAACTTCAGGTATGCATTGTACAGATCCGCGTTTTCCGCCTTCAACAGTTTAGTGCAATACGCTGCCACGTTTGGTAGGACGAGAAATGCTGCAACGATAGCATATTCCGATAACTGCATATCACGTCAAAGAATCACATGGCTGAACAAAGGTGTCTATCCTCTGCCTATTGCATTAACAGAGGTTGTGATGTATTAAACCTACGTGTCCAACGAGGACAGGCTAGCTCGAGCCAAAAAATGTGATAAATTATATAAAGTTGGCTTTATCGATTGCATGTCTAGACGACTCTTCGTTGCAATCAGTCTCACCTATCAGATGATTACATCCTTTGTT